TATTATAGAAAAACATACATACACAATAAATGAAAATATTTTAATTAATGGGAGAATCAAAACTGCAGGAATTTCGTCATTAAATCCGATAGATGTGTTTTTGTTCATCATTTAAATAATAATCAAATAAATATTTTATAAAAGAAAGCAGAAAATATTACCGTTAAAATGCATATTGTTAACATTATTTTCAATGTTACGTGATATTTCAGTAAGGAATATAAATTACATAAGCAGTTTCATGTGGTTTACTTTGGCTTCAATTTCTGAAAGTAAAAATAGAAATGTTATGGAAAACACAATTAACATGTTTTAATAAGAAAATAAGAGAAGCAAAAACCATAAATAAATATCATCCGAAATATATTAGACATATCAGATAAACTATGGACTCATTATAAAAATATGTCAAGTTAAACAAATAGAAAAATTGATTATTGGAATTATGATAAATAAATTTAATTTAATGATACATTATCTTTTATTTCATTTTTTTGATTCTCTACTAGCTATATAACTAAAGTCTTTTAGATTACAAACAATTATACATAAGATACAACGTCTAATAGTTAAACATATAAATAATGAGCTAATAAGAACTAAATGTATTTTATAAATCGTAGCTGTGCTGATTGTGAGATTCTAATATGTTTAATTTATTATACTTGCCTTCTATTGCTGTTGTATGTTATTGCTATCTATTCGCAATTAGTCAACCATATGTTAAGAATCAAGTTATTCGCAGTTCCCATAATCAAAATGACACGTGCTATATGCTAAGCTTGGTTTCCAGGTTGGAACAACGTTTTTTGTGGATTTCTTTCCAACTTTCATGAACATTCCGGTACACTTCATCAGGGAGAGTAGCAATCTGATACTGCTACATTATATTCTATCATTGAATTCATCTTTATACTACAAAAATATGAAAAAAAACTATGTTAAAAAAATAATTCGGAATTTTTGGCGAAAAATGTATACACTGTCAGTTAATAGTTTTCGGACACTTTAAAAAATAGTAATTCAATAATCAAAATAATTCAAATCGTCTATATGCACGAGAAGCGATACTTGAGTAATCAAGAGTTCAAGAAATATACAATGTATTAAATTTAATTAATATTTAGCCAAAAACATTGCATTTTCTCTTTCTCTCCCTCTGGTTTGTTGAAATACGATTAAAATCGAAATGTATATATTCATTCCTTTTGCTTAGTCGCTGGATCCTTCATTATAGAGAATGTATAAATGCAAGTATATGTAATGCTTTTATTTAGACTTTAACATCATTATTGTATATTTCTCTTTTAATTTCCTTTTTCGTTCTTGTATATTCTTCGTGCAGTGTGTATATGTATATAATATGGAAACAGAGATTTTACCAGAACAATAGAGTCGCTAGCTGACTACAAAGGAAAGTAGAGTAGTAACCTAAATATACGTACCTCTGCAATATCTTCAAGACTTCTTGAATTTTGCCTGCACAAAAATTCTCGGGACATCAATGTTTTCCTTTAAATTCACCGTACGTCTTTGTACGTAGCCACAATTCAATGTTTGAAAACCGACAGACTCAAATAGATTTTTTACCTCCTCTGTTGAGAAATAATAACTTCTGAAATCCAAAAGTTACATTGTCATTAATATGTACTAAGCTGATGGGATAGAAAACTATATAACATAGTTGCATTCCAAGAGTTCGATTTTGTTATAACTTGACCCTGAACTATGAAACCATCGTATTCCTACTCGTTTTAATAAAACATTGAAAAAATATATATAATTACCTAGTTCCATCTTGTCGCATGTAGAGGTTCTCACTGATCTTATGTCCAGGCTTAAAACGTAATTGAGCCATATCGTATAACCCATAGTCACGAAATAGCAATATTCCTCCACTACCAAGAATGTTGTATAAATTTTCAGCAACTCTAATAAAGATATTTCAAACAATCAGTAACTGAAAATCTAATCAATATATTAGAATATTATAACGTTATATATTACATGTTAACATACTTGTGAAATTTATCGGGATGAATGGAAGATAATACAAAAATGAGAGTGGCAATATCAACTGTACAATCGATAACAGAAAAACAATTTTCCAATGTAACATCAGTTTGAAAGGCTTTCATTGTTTCTGGATCAAACAACGTGTGGCTCTACAACGAAAGGAAATATCGAGCGCGTTAATATCCAGTTGCATCCGCGTTAATTTACGGAAATCACGCCATTGATATACCTTGAGTAACTCTATCGCCCTTGTAGATAAGTCGCATGAGAATATTTTCGAATATTTCAGCCCATCTTCTATCAGGGGATAAACAAAATTTCCCACGCCGCAGCCGACTTCGAGGAGGACATTTTGGCTCCCCACGCCGCCGAGCAGCTCATCGAATTCCCGCGTGGTCCAATGTCTATCTTTGAAAAATCGAGTGTCGTTTCGCTTATAAAATAAATCCCAGTGCTTCTTCGCGTCCCTCTCGAGTTGATTCGCACGAAATTCGGACACTAGGCGAGAATCTTGCGCCTTCATTTTATCGATTTCCTCGGCTGTGAGGCGCTTGGCCACGTGTCCCACATTTAATATACCGTTTTCCGTCGGCTCGCTCATTCTCTCCCCGATTATATATTTGAAATAACTAATTCAAACCGCAGAACGTATCACCGATTCATACTGTGATATGGAATTTTCAAAATGTTTCTCTCGATATAGAATAAGAAGATTCTTACTTTGCTCGGAGCAGGTCCGTGCTTACTCCTTGAAGTCCCGGTGGAAAGTGGAGGAAAATCAGCCAGCGCCGCGTAGCAACGATGGCAACGCCAACTACGGGCGGTGTTGCCGTGTTGTGCTTCCGGTTACCCACGAAATTCAAACGGATGAAATGTTTCAAGGGAGAAATTGATTCGTATAAATAATCGAAAATGACTGTCATTTTCTATATAAATATTTTAGCGTTTAGCCTATTAATTTTCAAATAAACAGTTGTTACAATATTTTGCAGATAAGTACATATGAGGACGATTTTGAGATTCTCGCCCGACCCGAAACTCATAGAAATAAAAAAATGTCGCAAGTTTTCTGTAATCGAGTGTGTATATTATGGTAAAACTATAAAGACAGTAATATTTTTTATTTATTGATAATGTGTAAAGATGCAGTTGTATGCTGCAAATATAAGAAAATAAACTAATTTATAAATAAAGATTTATCGAAACTCATCAAGAGACCCTCCTCATGTAGCTTAAATATTATTTCTGCAAGTTTTTCAAGGGTACTGTACGTTAAATTTAAGAGGATCAACATATTAATTAAATATCTCAGAATGAAATCTATTAATGTGCCGCTTAACCAAAACGCAAAGTAGGCTACTCGTTGCACGCGGTTTCAGTATGAATTCCACGTGCGAACAAGCTTATTCGATTAATATGCTGGTCCTGTAGGGGACAAATATTTTGTGCCACCGTGTAACATTGGCACACAACGACGCAGTATTGAAGAGGGTTGAGCGTGACTGAAATTCAGTCAACAAGATTGCACATCACTTATTGCGATTTGCAAAGCAAAAGGCAATATTGAGCTAATGCAAGTATTATCTATTGTTATGATTATTCACGCGATATCCTAAAATCCAACATAAAAGGGCACGCAGACAACACGTCCGGTTGTCATTTTCGTTTTGCATCGCACGTACTTCCGGCATCATTCGACCAATTTTATGATTCACGAAGAACTCATAATGCGCGAGCCGAACGCGGCCGAAAGAAAATGAATCGATTGACTAGTATGTAGGTCATTGCAGACCACAATTTTGTCGAGAGCTTCGGTGGAAGTAACAACCATAGATTACCTGAATGGAATGAGAAACACGTTTCGCAATTCGCAGTCATTAATGCCTTGTGGAGTAACGTTATTTCGCAGTTTCCAATGCGGCCATCTTTCATGGTCGCTTCATAACTACGTACTTCGCTGTAGACACATTAAAAACGTGTCGCAATTAAAATCGCGTTTCTCTGCACGATAAATCGTGACGAAAAACAATAAAGTCGACTTGATTCATCTCAATTACGTTGCTTTTATTACCAACGAGACTGTCTTTAAATTACCACACATCGGCTTTTCAATTCATTTTCTATATTCATCATTATTTCTTTGGAGTGTAATAAAATTAATCGAACTCACACCTCATTTGTTACCCGCGAGAAATGTGATTAAAGGCTGCTCGTAAAATTAAATTGGACATCATTATACGCCGTTATAGCAATTCAAAATGTATTTATGCCGACGACTATTAAAATCCGAGATAAAAAGGTGTAACGAAGATAACAACGTCAAATATCCAGTTTTAAGAATTGATAATATTACACGCGATAACATATCGCGCAAATGATCATTAACATCGGCGTTTTGTGCCGAGCGCGTGGTAGGCAGGAAATCAAATTGAATAAATAATTCGCATCGGAAGCGCTGAACAGCCGGCACCGGTCATGTATGTTGGATGCACGATGTATCAGCTAACGCGCGTGATTTTATAATTTCGTCGTTATAAACTCTAAATTTATCTCGCTAATTAGTACATCGTTAGAGCTCACTAAATAGCGCCGTTGCATTAGCTTTCATGCGGAATACTGGTTGCACGCGCTGCGCTTAACGCACAGCGGCGGTGTGCATAATCATAAAAATGATCCTCATTCTGGGGAAAGCTCTCGCGAGATTGAGCGCGCACTCCGGCCCTCACGAGAGCGATCAAAAGATTATCCGAACTTCTCCCGTTACCGACGCGCGTTATTATGGTTCAGCAGGCTCGCGCGATTTACGCAGTTTCAAATCCCACTAATGTTTCCATTAATACCGTCGTGGATTTTTTTTTGTAATTTTTCCGCAGCGGAATGAATCACGAGGATTAGTTACGACCACCGGTTACCCGCGCGGCTTCCCGCCCACTCGTCGGTGGAAGCGGACCTTTATGTGTAAAATTGAAAGGATGAAGGAGAAAAATGTCTTAAAGCAGCAGAAGTTCGAAATTCAAGCCACGGGTAAGTTAGTGATCGTGATATTCTGTGTATTATTCTGGATAGATCTAAGAAATCTTAAATTGATAATCCATACTATTAATATATTATAAAATCGATGTATTGTGATAAAATTTTGTGTGTGTGTGTTCAAAGCAGTAACACCCCAATGTGTCACAAATGATATCCGTTACGTGCCAGGGTTACAACAAACTTAATAACTACACATTCTTCATAAGAATCGGTGCAATAGTTTGTGGAGTAATCCCGTGGGCGCTTCCCACGATTTATGCAATTGTGTTACACATAGACCACGTAGTCAACGAAATGATAATTACTTCTCATAGTCGCATGCGCTACGGACTGGTTTACGTCTCGTGCTACGCCTCTGTGAAGACGATTTTATCTCCGAAATAGTAAATCTTCAGCTCAAATTGTCAGCTTGTCGGTATTATATAATATATATTTATATAGCCAATAATCGCAATAAATCTCTTCTGCGAGAGTACAACTGCTATTGCGATTCCGAAAGTACCGACATAAATATACGGACTTAAATATAACATTGCCGTATCGACTTTTGAGCGAACGTCAATATCGATGTGAATCCTCTCACGGTTATATTGCTGAAACGTATTTTGTGCGGATGATATCCAGAAAAAATTTGCTATTTGTAACTATAATAGCATAATTAAAAGAATTATATACGAGACAATTATTTTTCTAATAAACGATAAAGTGTCAATGATAATGACTTTACATGTATATTGCTGCCGCTATATTTTTTTTAGTTAAAACCGAAAAAAGATATAGTTGAGGTCAGAAATGACTTTAAATTTAGTGGGATTTTCTCCAAAAAACAAATAACTCATGGCAATTAATGTTCGACGAACCCCGCTGAAAATATGACATATAGTTCGAAATATTCACACACCACACCTGTGACTCTGCGTTTTCTAACGCGGCCGCCTACTTTACATAACTGCCCAATACAAACTTACACAATTACGGAATACTAGAACGACAAGAAGCGATGCGAATTGTCGGCAGTGTCGCGTATTTGTTGGTTTGCGTCGGAAAATTTTCTTTCCTCTCTGTCTCATCTATATAAAATGCAGCGTAAATATACATATTCAGTGAGGGGAGCATTTTGTTTCAATATTACGGCTCTATCGTTTTTATTGTATAATGCTCTACGTTTTATATTAATATCAACCATCAAAAAGAGAAATGATTTTACATTACTATCAACCATCAAAAAGAGAAATGATACCCGTGTGTAATATCTTCACGGCAAATAGACTGTATTCCATTTGCATGTTTATTAAAACTTTTCGGAACATGAATCGTATTAAATGAATCATTCTAATACCGCTTTGAAAAGGGGGATTAAACGTTTTATATTTCTCCACGTGAATTTTACACGAGGCAATGCATATATTTTCTTAAAACATCAAGCTGTAAATTATTCATTAAGTAAGACAGAAATTCTTTCGAGTCATAAACTAAAGTTAATGTACGGTAACTAATCCTCGCAGATTTGCAATTTAATGGAAAATATTGAATTAATGATCACACTCGAGTTAAAATTTGAATAATATTAAAGCATCTTGCCCCAGATAGTTTTTTCCAACTAATTGACATAATAATAATAATCTTGGAATAACATTAGCTGGATAATAAACATTTCGCTGTGCGTTCTATTTTATCTTAATATATTATTTCGAACTTTTAATCTGTCTCTATTATCTCTTCGCGACTGAGCAGTCTCGCATAACGATCCGTCTGATATACCGAGAACATCTCCATGACAATCGATGCGTCTCAATTATTACGGGGCGATGCATGAGAGAGGCGCGCACGTGACCGTAGGCGCGGCGGCGGCGGAGGTACGAAGATGCCTCGCCGTGCCTTTTCCATTCCGTCGAGGTAGGCACGGTCGAAGTATCGTATATACCGTTCCTCCTCGTGGGCATTCCAAGCGGGAATTCTCGAAAGCCGAGCCAGTTGTGTTGTAGAAACCGCGGCGCGGCTCGCCACTCGCCGGTACTTTCGACCGGTCGTAAAGCCGACGTTTCGCGCTCGTGCTGCTTTCAGTAATACGGAATTTCGTCCCGAAAGCGGACGCGACCGTGTCGCGAACTATTGGCAACCCACCCGGAAGACCGACGACCCATCGATAAAATTCTGGTGAGTTATGCGCGCATTTCTACCTGCCCGTCTACCTAGGCTACCTGCGAGAAATCGACGCTCGCTTACACCGGGGATCCATCTTTAACGTTGAATAGAACAGTTTCGACTGTTCGGCACTTTAACTGTCGAGACGTCTCGGCGCCTTAACTAGAATTTAGAGTTTAAACTCACTCCGTGAAGAAGTTTGCGACGTAAATGTTGTTACGTTGTGTTGCATATTGAAGTTTGACATGTGAGCAAGATCGCGTCGGAACGCCTTTGGTGTTTACATGTTGTTTAGGCAATGAGTGAGAGACTTTAAGAGAAAGCACGATTCCTATTTATCCCTTCGATATATTGTGAAAAATGTTCATCACAATCTTACATTCGATTGTTTTAGTATTTAATATTGCCAGTTGATTCGTCGCGATAAGAACGCCAACGAATTCCGATGAACATTCCACGCATATTCCGCTCGGCCTTAAATCGCTTGAATTTTAATCGTACTATGTTTAGAATCTGGATCACACCCGTTATAAGCATGATGCCAGCTTATCTCGTCATCGTAGGAAATAGTCGCTGAATAGCTTACGAATGGTACAATTATACCGTTTTTAAGTCAAAGAACCAACTGCTGAAATACCTCTGATAACATCGACATAATTTAGACGACTAACAATTTCCGCATTATCGTTAAGAGAAAATTGAATTAGAATTCATTTACATGCGGGAATTTATTTTAGCGTTGCCGCAGAAATGTCCAAAATAAAGCCTGCATTTGTCATTTAAAAGTTAGATTTTAAATTGCTTTTTACTAATTCCGAGGACGAATGGAGTGCCTCTTTTTTTAGAATCGCTACATTTAGAAATCCGCGGCTGGCTACGCGGTGCCGTTTGCGAAACGCATCTCGCTGAGATCTCGAGAATCGCGGAGACTCTCGCGTGCAAAATATCAAAGCTGCATCCATTTGCACGAGCGACTCCTTTGTCTCGATTTATCGTCCAGGGCGAGGCTCGCCATTTCCGCTTTGGGACCTTCGATTATCGCCACTGACGGACCGTGTCATCGCGAATGAGACTGTTACCGGGATCTTCGATCGATTATGCGGCTCATGAATAAACGTTACTGCGTCACGTCGTTCGCACGAAGGACGAAGGACGTTGCCGGAGAAACAAGCCGGCGTAACGCTGAACAATGAGCATGCAATGGCGCTAACGTCCTCGCGGCGGTAATCAAGGCTTAGTTAAGCTTGAAAGGACAGCGGCGAAAAGATGACCGCCCACAACGCGCCTCTGATATCAGGGTTGCAGCGTGCAATTTTTTTTTTCGCGAGTGCATTCGACTCGCTCTGTGCTCTACTTAACCGGCGATTTAATTTTCACTCGCATCGTAGTTAGGAGCTGCAACCGCGATCGCAATTAAACTGCTCTCCCTGATCATCTTCACTGTCCGCGAACACGCGACGACATTCTCGTCGTCGTCATCGTCTTCAAGTCGCAAGTGACTCATGATTTCATCTCTGGTGGACGCTCGACTCGTCAACGGCGAAAATGGCAACGGCCGATAACGACGAGTTTCTAAACACTTCGGAACAAGACGAGATCGAGATTTTCTCCTCGTCGAGAGAGAGACGCCAGGCGACGAAGATATTCTCGAGTCGGACAGCGATCTTCGTCAAAGCTAATCGCATCGTTTCGAGAGCAATTAAATGAGGTGTGCGGAGAAAACTGTATTAGGAAAAAAAAAAAAAGAATGAAAGAAAGATCGTTCGGTCGGCTGGTTTTTGCGGTGAAATTTCGGAGATGATCGGCGAATGAAATATGAGCGGAAAGTGGCGCCTTCGATTTTTTTTTTAGCCAGGTGCAACTTTCGCCACGCCCTAATTACGGCGACGCGATGTGTAGGCAGCTCGCGACGTTTTGTATTTATTGCGGGTGTTGCGCATCGATGCATGGATCAGATTTCATGATTATGCGCGATTAACGCCCGTACTCGTGTAATAGCGAAAAGAAGAAAAAAAAGCTGGACAAACGCCGCGGGATATTAATGTTTATACAGAGTCATTATTGCATCTTATTAGGGTGAAATTGATAGCCGCTTCACACTCGCAGTCAACTTTGAAACTGGGTCAACAAAAGTAATTGCCATGTCAAACAGATTCTGTCGGTGGACCGGCGGATGTAACTTAAGAAAGCACTTAACTATATCTAATCGTCATTTAACCGCAGTAGCCACGCCATCGTGATTTCGATTAAGCGATACATCACGCCGCACTCGATCGCATAACGTTTCGCGGTCAATACAGGTTTCCACAACTGTAGTCTTAAAGTTTCAGGAAACACCATTTATTTCTAATATTTTCGGGGATTATTTTGATATTTTTTTTTTTTACCTTCTTTATGGGAGAAAATAAATGTGGCGGGTTTTAACCGAATATACGTGAATTTTTGTAAACGAATTTTCGTACCCTCGGGACGGAAACCGAAGAAAATCCATGGAAAAATGGGGGAAAAAAAACAAGTTTTTTCCCCGAAACTTTAAAACTACGTTCGCAACTGAATATTCGCGCCGGGGCGAATTAACGTGAGAAGGACGAGACATTTCATTTAAATTATCCCTACGGGAAGGAGGGACATTAGAAAGATCAAATTCCAAATTTATTCCTTATCTTCATGAAGTTTAATCAGCTTCGTAAGTATCTACTCGGAGCTAACGGTCTTTTCGGGACTCGGCATAGTGCCTTTTAACTTCGCTCGACTAAGAAGGAGCTTTCTCTAGTGACCGAAGAGGGAAGACTCTCCTATTGCTCGCGGTATCCGACGGTCCGTACGTCCGCCGATGTTACTCGGATGGATGCACTTCCTCGTCGACACTCGCGAAAGTAAGCGCCCGGAGTATCGAACCTGGTGAATCGTAATATCGGTGGCTATGCGAGCAACAAGCTAGAATGGGCCTTTGCGCATTCCTGGACGAGCACTACGTTCTCAGCCTTTCAGTTTACGGCGGAAAAAGTGCTTAGCTTAAACTTTCTAAGCGTTTCACGTCGCGCCATTTCGCCGTTCGCGTTCGACGAACGCCTTCTGAAGATAGATAGATAGAGAGAGAGAGAGGGAGAGAGAGAGAAAGAGAGAAAGAGAAATGCTCCCGGTTTTAGAACGCAAGGGGTAACCGTAAAACCGAGCCCGTCATCATGCAACGTCGATAAAACCGCTTTGGGATTATTTATGCGGCCGCAGTCAGCCGCTAACGTATGCAATTAGAGCTCTACGCACGCCCGCAGAGTTCAGCTCGCTGCCCACCTAAGTCGCTTAATTACAAGCATAGAAATTTTTGCGCCGGCAAGAACTGAAAGCGCTCGCATAGTTTTTCCTTTCAGTCTACTCTTTCGTAGAAGCCCTTCAAACTCACTTATTTCGGGGAACCGTTTAAATATTGTTTAAAGTGTCGTCCAAAATCCGCGTTACATCCTAATTAAACATACACAAACGATCGACACCCCCCGTAATTTAAACTAACAATGATAAAATAATAATAAAGTAATCGAAAAATTAAAACGGAACGATTAACCCGATTTTTCGCGGCGTACTCATCGGCGGGAGCCTCGACTTCCCGTATTTTCAATGTTGCTCGCGGATCCTTGAAAATTACGGGTTGATTACAGCGCGATCGCGGCCACGTCAGTGCGAGATACGTCAACCGCGGACTCCTATATTATACACGAGGCAGCTAGCATGCTGTAATTTCTTAGGATGCAGAATGAGGTATACGAGACTGATGGTAGCATTACACGGATCGCCATTTGTGTTGCAGGAAGTCACGAATACGGCGGAGTATAATAAGGGTATTTAAATATCAACGCGCGATACTTTCCCAAATAAATTGATCAAGCGATCTTATGCACGTGTAATTTGTGCACGGAGATATATTTCCGCGATTTATTTATTAACACCGCTACACACGCGAATGCGTTTTGTTACACAGTTAAAGAGCAGGTCTGATAATATTCATTTTGCATTTTTTTCCTTGACATTTAGACATCGACAGATTTCACTGGCGTGAAAACGAAAAAAAAAAAAAAACGAAGGCGGTAAGCTAATTAGCACTTCACCGATGTAGTACAGCACCACCTTCTCGTTTTAATTAACATTACATCGCAAATGCATTAAACCGTTCCACCGCTCGCTTGTAAAATTGTCTATCTCGGGAATTGCCATGTTAGCAGCCATGGATTCCGACGAGTGAAAAGATTTGTTAAAATCGGACACGCATGCGCACGTGCGCTTTTCAACTCACCGAAAACAAAATCGCCGAGCGGAGTTATTTGCGTGTCCTTCCTGTTGGAAAAATAAATATCAAAACGTGTTGAAATATGCAAGAATATTCCGCGGCAAAGTCGTGTGGTGAGCATATTTATCAGAACAACGGTCGTATGTGTGACCTATTGAAAATTAATTTCAGAGTTTGACAAATACAGCGCATTTTTATACGCGTGTGCGTGATGGGATTGATATTATTACAGCCTCGCCTCTCGTCCGAAGTAAGTGTAAGGCGAATGTCGCGCGTGACGTTCAAATTGTCATGCAAATATTGGGACGCGCACACGCCGGGCCAACACTATTTACCTTTTACACACGGTTGGCCGCTCCGCGGTCAACTGCAAGTACCGTTGCTTCGTTGTCCGGGAATTCTGATACACACACGCACACGCATACGCACACGAGCAACTCGTAACCACGGATTACACGCTGTACGCCCGCGCACCTGTAAACAGAAGCCCCGGAGGCAATAATTCTTACGATTGCGGAGAAAGGAGGCGAGCGGCCAAGTGCCCGGAGCCGTTAGCCCACGTCTTCGTGGCGAAAAATAGCGTTGACATTGGCGTGCGGAGCACCCCATCCCAAGTTCTCGAGGAACGTCGGTCGCAAATCGAACACGTTAGATAACCGCTGAACTCTCTCGGGAAGAAAAACGAGATGACGTGTGTGATATTCCGCAAGGTATTACGTGACATTTCACG